GGGTTACACTCACAGTGAGGCTAACAGGTAGGGCATCGCTGTCTCAGTCTGTACATGTCACACACAGGTGAGTGGGCTAGTCGCTGTCGTACAGCATACAGGTAAGTCGCACACGAGGTTATTGCACAGGGAGCAAAGAGCGCGTGAGGCAATGCAGCAGTACTTAGTGATAGGTCACTGAATGTCGTCGCACGGGTGCGGGGAGTAGCGTACTATTATGTAATCCGAGAATTGTACTGTAGAGTAGCCACCTATAAATATCCTCGTCCATGCTCGATCTAGAACCGGATGAAGCATATGAACTTCTCAGTACTGTCGTAATTTGTCCCAATATGGTTGTCAGACGTTGAATAGACCGGAACATACCAATATCGGGGGGAAAAGATGCAAATAGACGTGAAAAGTCGATCGACGGCAAATAGCTTTTTGTGCCTTTTGCCACCGTTTTCCATCGATTGATACCGATTTCTAGCGATTGTTACATGTTTCTGTCTTTACGCCAGACAGCAATCGGCTGAAAAAGACCAGAATAGTAGGAAACAGACGGGGTTCTCACTGGGGCGGAGGAGAGAATCGCGCGGGTTGTCAGCGAGACCAAGGGCGTGTGGTGCAAGCGGTGTCGGGAAGACAGTCTGTCGTATTGTAGTTGGCCCATAATTCATATCATTTTTCCCAACTTTTGGCGTGTTTCGTGTTGAATTGTCGGACAGCGTGCCTGCAACAGACCCCGCGTTGACAAAGCACTGCTTGACCATCTATATGATGGTAATGGCATGGGAATTCCCAGCTCGCCTGAAAATCCCTGGCCGAGCAGGCCTATGCGTTCCATTGCAAGCTGATGAGTTATGATGACAGCCCGATACACTATCATGATCACAGAAATTAAGCTCTCATATCTAACGCCAATAGAACACCTATCTCGTCAAGACTAGCGTTACAATGAAAGCTGATTTAGTCACTCCTTACATTGCCAATACAACCCGCATTACATTGATTTGACATTTTTGCTGATAAATCAGCCACCGGTGAAACACGGACACGTTCGCCGTTTCTTATAAAAAGTGCCTCTCGCAGACCTCGATGGAGTTAGACGTTCATCGATATTCTTTAGGATTATGCACAGTCCGGGCGTAGTGGATGCAACGGTCGTAGCTCAGCAGCAGAATTCAAGGAAGGATCCGGTATCTTGCGGTTGACGGTGCATTGTTGTGAAGCAGCGTATGGTAGATACAGTTGAAGATCATGTGTCGACAGCATCCGGTGACAGGCATTGCCCTTCAAGCCCTCTCAGTTTGAAGCTAGTATCACATGATGAACTTGACAACAGGATTTAATGTCGGTCGTACCGACATAGGTGCGTGTCTGTTACGAAACATACAGCTTCCTCCGACTCTACTATAGATGGGCTCTTCAAATCCTAAACAATGGCCTCAAATGGGGTGCGTTCACTCTCAAGAACCAAGGCACCCCGAGACGGCCCTGTTTGTTTAGTATCGAAGCGCTCCTCGCTACAGGCTGACGACAAAAAAGGCGTGTCATCCCGCATTCCCACACACCGTTGCATGACTGCACCTGCAAGTCGTTTTCGGAGGGAGCGCTCTGCCTTTTGAACTTTGGGAGACCCACGCGCTCGACGCTGATCTGAGAAAAAAAGACTAGTTCTGGCGTCACACAGAGCTCAGGAGCAGGCACAAAGAGCACAGGATACGCTGATGCGGTTGTTCCGTTCAGTCGTTGAAGCACGGTCCATCTATCTTCAGATGGGCAACTGCGCATACAAAACATGCGTGATGATATACGATTAGTACATACAGTTCTAGAAGCCGGGGTCCAGACAGCTCGAATCCGCTGCATACGTTCGCGATGTCAGCGCGTCAGCTCGAGATAGAGTCAAAACAGAACGCACAGCTGGGCGAGACCACGACAGGCGCAGTCGATGCTCCGTCCCCGGCGGTATCGGTTACGTAGATGATAACGGTAGAGCCTAACAGTATCACCCCGCATCAAGTAACCTATACCAAACACAATGGATGGCGAAAAACGTACCGGCAGGCGCTCCGTAGCCAGCCCACTCAAAGCTGGTTTCGGACAGACGCTCGGAGTCTTCGACAACCTCACCGTTGTCCCTAATCCTGTGTATGAAAAGCATAGCCAATCAGCCCATAGCCTATAAGAGACGGCGGTCCCGAACTTACGACTGCGGAGCCGGAATGCGATTCGTCAGCGGGGCGTTCACAGGCAGCGTAATCGAAAACATGTCATCTCACCAAGCTGTATGCGCCTGTAGATATGTCGTGCAATGTAAGTATCTCGAGGAAACATGTCATTACAATTCTTGACTCACCACTTCCTCCTGACCAAGTGATGTTAGTCACCCCACATTGGATGATCTCGGTCCTAAGCAGTGATCGGGCTTGTATGAGTGACGCTTGGATGGACGGTGGTCACACCACCTACGGTGTATCGACTACCAGAGGGGTAGCCTGGATGCCGTAGATGCAGGCTGACAGAAAAACGAGGAGGGGTAGTGATCGTTGCATGGTGGTCGGGTCTCAAGAATGTAGGCAAGCAGTATCAGCCTTTATAGGCCTCTCGACTGCAGGCGCTACATCAGCACGGTCGGCGGCAGAGCTACATACCAATGAACTTGCACAGGCAATTGTGGAGCGAGTTTGATACGCGCGCAGGCTTCAGCCGATCGCCTTATGATGGCCCATCACCTGTAAAAAGCTTTTCGGTGCGTAGGCATGGTACTCGTCCGCCCCAGTACGTGCCTCATTCAAAAGACTGCCAAGGAAGATGAAATCGGAGAAGGAACACTCACCAGGTCGCTCGCGACCGCAATCCGCGTCTCATAGCTAGCCCCACCTCGGCCAATTGATACATGACGAGACCATGAGCCGAGAGGGGTACAGACCGGGGAGTACAGGCCGTCGTGTTGAATGCATCGCTACAGGCGTTCTTTGCAAGTCAACCACGAGACTCGTGGTCATGGCGTACTAAGGCCGCGACCAGTGCTTGCTTCTCACGGAATCTTTGCCGTCAAATTGGGGCCACCTGCGAAAGGGTCTTGGACGCTGTCCTGTGAGTCCGTGTTCATGTTCAAGTAACGCGATGCCGCTTTGTATCAGCATGTCTATTCGCGCGCTATGCACACACCATGAGAGAGGTGACTGCAGCCGTGCGAGGTGTCACATGTCTGCAAGGCGCCGAGATGATATTAGTACCGCTCAGAATTGGCTGGATCTGGGAGCCGCCCGTATCTCGTACCTCCGGATTTTGAGTCACGTCCCCCAAGACGCCGTGCATTCGTTACAACTTCGTCACGTCTCATGCATCATGACCGACAGGACGCGCGCAATCGCACTCGCGGACAACTCTGTGAGTCTTGCGCGATGTCTCAGCCCGCACATTTTGCGAAGCGGGTTGTCATTTTTCAACACCATCGTCATACGCCTGAGGGTGCTCTCAATTGCATTCTGAGAGTCCAATATCCGCGACAATGTTTATGAGTAAGCCTCTCTGAAATTGTGGAGTACGCGCGACTTGTGCCACGTCCCCGTTGTGCGCTAGAGTCGCCGAGATGGGAGGCATAAATGAATTATATCATGAAACTCCAGCGGCAGTCCGCCTTAGGCTACTTGATATAGCGCCTTGCAGCATTTTTATATATAGCTAGGCTCGAGGAGACCGACGGCTTCTGAAAGAGATATACTCCCAATGCAAGCACACGCGTTGCGGCGGTTGGCGATGGTCAGCGTGCACTCGCGAGGCCTGCCTAGGCCTGTTAAGAGACGTGACGCACCAGTAACGGATGCACGGCGTCTTGGGGGACGTGACTCAAAATCCGGAGGTACGAGATACGGGCGGCTCCCAGATCCAGCCAATTCTGAGCGGTACTATTGGCAAGGGGAGCTCTGTGGGTAAATACGTTACCGCCATAGGTTCACTATATATCTAGATCTGCTGCCGTTTGCCGAGCTCGTTCGATGGCGCTTAATCAACAATACTACGTGAAGTTGGTGATCGTCATCATACCATAACTCACCGGTTCACCACTCATCCAGGTGCGCGTCCTTCACTGCTGGGGGCGTCTTTTCCTTTGTTGATGTTCCGTATGCATTAGACATCTCGCAAGGGCGTGTCGCTCTCTTGAATTGCAAATCGAACGGACTGAGCCGCCAGCATAATACATCGCGAGGAGCACGCGTAATGTGTGCCGTACTGTTCTCTGCTCAGCATCGTAGGAGTACGTCAGGTGGGCATGAGCACGTCGTGGAACCTCCCACACCGGTGTGTAATAACCGATGCTCGATCTTCGTGTTTGGGAAATTGTACTGAATGTCGAATCCTCTAGCTGTGATGTATGATTACTGGATTCAGCATGCTCGACAGACTCACCAGCAGAGCGTCGACGTTGGCGGTGGAAGCATTCACAACTCTAGAGGGAGTCACATTGAAGAATAGGGAAAAGCTGGGATGCGATGGCCCCTTGCGCGTTTTGACTTGGCCCGTACCCGCGTGGGTACATACCCGAGCTCCCGGGTACGGGTTTAGGTCGGGTAATCCGTGTATGGTGTATCAGGTTGCAGCATGGCTATCTGTTCGTCGCTAGAGATGCTGCCAAGAGTTCTCTGTACTTACACGCAGCATACCTGACGCCCTTCTACATGTTCACGGCCGCTCTTCAGCAGCATGCAATGGTTGCGCTCGCTAATGAACCCATAGCGGTGACCGTCATATATGATATTATCGCTCATCACAGCAAAACTTCTCGTACTAGAATCACCTCAATTTGTATAGCCCTTTCACGACAGTGTAACGAAGTCTCACCTCGCCGAGGGGTCCACGGGTACGCTCCGTCAGGTATATTCCAGGTCTCGAGGCGGGGTCACCCAACCCGTGCACATCCCTAGGTTCTCCTGGATATTTGGAAGGTCGATACTACAGCCTCCGCCACCCCACGCCCTGTAGACTTCGAGTCCCAACACTCCGATCCAGCCTGCCCTTCACGTCCTCATAATTGTCTGGCGAGGGTTCTTCTCCCCCTTGCCCAGCCCCTCCCATATCTAGACCTCGTGTCAAATCATTGACCCTCCACACATCTGCCCGCAGTGACTTCATCGCCTACTGGTCGCTGAGGCTCCCTAGAAAGCCGTATGTCGCGCTTCGGTTCCTCTTCCAATCTGCTCAAAAATACGCTGCAGAGCTTAAGGCCGAGCCAAAGCCGGATGTCGTAAGGCGCGTATTCGAACTCAGGTTTTTTCACGCTTTCGACGCGGAAGAGGCGGTGTCGGCGGATTGGGAAGGGACTGGACCGAGTGAACGTTTCCTGGTCTTCGTAGTTATTGCATCGGATAGCCTATGAGCGGAACTCGATAATTCGCGACGTCAAGATCTTCTCTTAGACACGCCGGTCGATCACCGCTCCAGGTATGGCGATGTCAAGTTGGTGCATACCTTCAGGCTGAGAAAGTGATTGACCGAGTGTATATCTATTTGGACAAGGAATGACAATATGGAGACCAGAGGAAAATGAGAGTACTAATGATACAACGCCCGGAAGTCAATGGAATGCAAGTATACAACTACCAAGAGGGAAACCAAAGGAATGGAAGACTGGTCACCTCAGCCAACACGAACGCTCATGCACCGTCGAACCCGCCGTACATGGGAGGCAGCATTGATCCCACCGAATCGCTACGCTGCGCCCCGTCAACATCTCCCTCAACCTCCTCCCCAGGCCGTCCACCCGCGAGGCGCACGCCGCCATCGGTAGCTCGTCTGCACTTGCACGGCTCCAAACCGCACTGACAGTCGTGGGCTCGCGCAACTGCCTGATCGCGGCTGTCGCCAGCCGGGCCTGGTGGCGTCTCTCCGCCACCGGCAGCAGGCGCCTCGAGTAGAGTCGAATTCGGAAGCAATACCTGATCCGATCCGAGTACGTTGCCTATGACAGATGGTATCCGCGAGCTGCGAAAGCTTGTTCGAGGGGTCTTCTCCGAGTACACGGGCGTCCCAGGAGGAGACAGGTGGCTCGGAACCTGGGACATCCGATACGAGTAGCGGTACGATTGTGAGAGGAGGCCTGAGGATATGCTAGGGAGATCGGGCAGCTGGGGCACAGAGGAGCCCAAGGTGCCTCCTGCGCATGACAAGTGTGGGTAGAATGAGGTGGCAATGATAGGAAGAGTGGCTTACCACTGCGATGAGTGCGATGAGAGAACTGTGAAGCTCTGTGCGTCTGAGTGCCGGATACCGGTCGGGTCTCCCCGTCGGGCGAGATCACAATTATGGTTTCCCGGATACTCGATGAAGGCTGCTTCGATTCAGCGAGGGGTTGCTCCAGCTCTCTTGGTGATTCTGGCACATATTGAGCGACTGAGGTAGTAGGCAGACAGCACCAGACGCACCCATGGGATCGCTCGCCTGCTGGCCATCGTAGCGGCGGTGACCTCTTCGAGTGAGGTATAGTAGCAAGACCATCGTGAAAACACTTGCTACTGCGGCTGCGGCTATTGCGACGCCTACGATTGTACCGGTGCTCGTGCACCCGCACGCCTGGGTGGATGCGCTAGAAGGCAAGGCGCGAAGTGGCTGGCAATGTATGTGTAAGAACGCTGGTGCTAGTTGATCACCACCCACCCCACCTGTACAGATGCCGTAAACGGAGGCACGAAGGTTGACGTTAACGTTTGAGTGGAGGAAGACGCCGTTAGAGAGCTGAGAGGAGGCGGTGTCGACAAGGTAGGAGTTGGGATAACGCTGCTAGTGCTAGACACTAGAGAAGAAGTCGAAGATGCACTAGACACTAAGTTTGTCGCAGTAGGCTCGGTCGGGCAGCCACCCACTATGAAGCACTCTGGACCGGTCAAGGACACCATGCGAGACGACGAAGGAAGAGGGAAGGGTCAGATAGAGTGTGGACGGGTCCTGCTGCAACATGAACTTTGTATATGAATGGGACTGGCTATGGCAACTATCCCGAAGGATGGAAGTAATCGGAGACCACGTGTATCCATCAAGTCTTATACCTGCATGCTTCGCAGCAAACATAAGACGTGTCGGCATCAGATTAGCAGGGCAATAAGAGAGCGTACCATTGGGCAGGTCTAACATCCAGTCCTTGGGGAAACGAGGAAGACACGAGCATCACGAACCAAGCTTACTGGTGTCCAATGAGGAACAGCCTGTTCTGGGCAGATGCCGGGAACCCCGAGGCAGTCACTGGACTTAGCACCCATCTTTCTCGCGCTGCAACCAACAGATCCGCCACATTTCACGACGAGCCACATTTGACATGAACGAGAACTCCATTGACTCGAGGCGGGTAGGCCAATATATGGACGACGTATTCGCTAGCTCTGACAACCCGAAAGCGACGCCTCTCCGGAATTTCACTAGCCCGGTCCGCAAGTAGTGGCAAACATGTCATCACTCAGAACTGTTGATCCAGTGGCGTGCTGGCAGATGGCACAGAGCAGCGCAAAAGAGTAGGCTGAGACGTAAGAGCCAAGTCGAACGAACGATTGCGAGTCGCATAGGTAAGGAAGCACGAAGAAGCATAGGTGAGAGAAGCACGAAGAGCCCGGGCCGTTGCGAAGAGCTTGAGGTCCGTCTGCGTCTCAGTGCCTGCCCTGAAGTGCAACGGTCACGTGGAGCTGCAGTGCACGGTGCACCCGATCTCAGAAACACGCCGGACAAGGCGAAATCACGCTCATCTGCAGATATATGTGTTGCAGGACCTGCGATCGAGGAAAAAATAATATAAAGAGCAATAGAATCCTCTCTGAGACCCTACAGACAGTTGTGCATATCTAGAGCAACCATCATCAGCTCCCCATGTCGTGGGCCCGATGAAACGTCTGGTGCACTGGCTCAAGTGCTACTCACGATCGGTCTCCAGAAACAGCATCTGAGACTTCGTATCGACAGCCCTTTCCGCAGTTGCCGCGTCCGTGACGTTGATTTTGACGTTGAGCTTCTTGGTCTTGCGCCGCCGGGGCCGCGCGGACACTGCATCCCCCAGTGTCGTATGCATCATTGAGGTGCGTAAAGAAGTCAGCATACACACTATCCGGTGCCTTTATACATGAGGATTACGGACGCACGCGTAGGCATTCCCTCATCGTAGACCACCGCCGAGCCGAAGCTGGCGTTCACAAGGGCAAAGCCGTAGACGGCACCGCTGGGCCCGCGACTCAATCTGCGGATGCCGTGCTCTCTTGAGAGGCGGCGTGGTACACCTCTGGTAAGGGAGAAGGCACTCACACCTGCGGGCCTCGTGAGCTGACGTAGGGAGCAAGAGAGCGCGGCTGTACTCACTATCGACGATGGGCCAGCGCTCGGGTGGCATAGCGCCTGCGAGTTGGCGAATTGGGAGACCTGCATTGTGAGATACGGCTCGCGCAGGAGGCCTGACCAGAGGGTGTCTACGAATTCGGACTGCTGGGAATGAGGATGACTGGATGGCTCAGCGCTATCAGTGCGCTCTATATGGGGATGATGACAGGTGAACATACTGCGCCGCATGTGCAAACGACCATAGGGTGCAAAGTGGAAGAATGAATAGTAGAATAGGAGGAAGACAAGCGGGAAACGGCATCATGCACGCGAAGAGGAACAGGAGGTGCAGAAACGGGTATATGGCTTGGGGAACGTTCAGATGTATGCGGAGGGCAGATAGGCCATCGCTATATAGTGCCTGACCTCCGATTCTGATGTTCCGAGTCGATGAGCGGTACATCGCAGCGTCTTCGGTCCCCTTGCTCGCAGCTGCGCGATCGATTGACTGGCGCTGTTTAGCCCAAGCTGAGGTCTCACGATGGCCAGGGTGCATTCGAGGGCTCGTGATGCACATCTATAGCAGCGTCGAGGTCCTGCGACACACTCACGTATTCGTAGAAGCATGCTTCGACTTCCCATGGTCGGATGATCTGAGGACGACGAACCTGTACGACAGTGTCTACCGTCGCGTGGCGATTGTTCGGCCCTGGGCTATCAAATCAACCCAGTTGACGTTCTCGACAGCTCTCCAACACAGCAAGTATCAAGCGGTAGATAAATTATCATCCAGCCTACCGTCAACTCACAGCTTGCCCTTCGCGCCCGCCGCCTTTTTCACGTACGCCACGCCCGCGCCGAGCGCGACCTTGCCCGTCGCGACGTTCCGCGTCACGAACGCGACCTCCGTCTCGCCCGCGTGGCCCGCGACGTCCGCGCCCACGGGCCCGATCTCCCAGATGAGCGTCTCGAGCGCGTCCCCGGGCCGCACGGGCGCGGTGAAGCGCACCCCAAAGAACCGCAGCGACGCGGGGTCCCCGCCCCCAACGGCGGACACGACCGCGCGCGCGCCGAAACCGAACGTAGAGAGCCCGTGCAGGATCACGCCCCCAAAGCCCGCGGCTTGGCCGATCGCGGGGTCTGCAAGTGCGCGGGGGGGGGGTCAGCGTGGGTACGTGCGGGAGAACGGGAGGAGGATGGGAGGGGAAGAGAGGGGAGGGGCACGCACTGATATGGAGCTCGTTGTAGTCGCCGCTGAGGCGGTAGAGGACGGCCTGCTCGGGCGTCGTCTGGTCGCGGACGATCCAGTCGGGCTTGCGGTCCTTGGGGGGCTGCTTCGCCTGCGGGGGGCCGCGATGCGCTTGGAGAAGTTGGTGCCGGTCGCCTTGGCGCCGAGGTTGAAGGAGCCGCTCTGCGGTCGGGCGGGTCAGATGGGTTGTGTCGAGGGCGAATGACACTACAGGAGGCGTGCGCACGGCGCGCGGGCGGTGTTCGAGAGAGGGAGGCAGGGAAGGGACTCACGAAGAGCTTGGCGTAGACCGTGCCATGAGGGTCTACAAGCGTAGACTCGTTCTCGAGGATGATGCCCGACTCTGCGCATGCCAAGTCAGCGAGTGCGCGTCATGGCGGAAGACTGCGGGCGTACTGTTCTCGCTCACTCCGACAACCCGCTTCT